AGTCGAGTGAACGTGTACAGCGGACATCAGTAAGGAGAAAATATACCACAACGTTAAAGGGACATCACGTGAAGAGCCATATTTTTTTTAATGAATGTATGCATTGTATGCACCTGTTACCTCGCTATCCCCATATTCATAGTCCTTCCAAATGTCCAGTTTGACTACTTGCATTGTTCGGGAAAGCCCTGCTAAATATAGCGCCGATAACGTCACCTGACTAGGCAGTAAACACAAGTGGTCTGAGCAGAGATGAAACGGTTTCCAAAGGAGCCCCCAGAGAGGGGCCGTCAGGCAACTGCAACTTCTTACCGCACTATGAAACCAAGTAATATGATTTCTAAGTCTGTATTCAAACTTATTGAACAGTAATTATTCATCATCAAAAGTTAATTGAACACGTGCCAATATTCAGAATTTAAATTTATTTAGCTTTAAACAGTTTTGTTGCCAATAAAATTGAACAAGGGATGGGGCACAATGTTTTACAATTTATCACAGCCTTCTCCCGTCATGCATTTACAATTAAATGTTAACAAAAGGCATAAACATAAAGTAGATATATTAATAGATATTTAATTTATTACCGGAATGTGACCGGTACAGATGGTACGGGGCTAAACACCTTCCCTCAACCACGCGACAAACCTTTCTGTAAAAAGAAATATTCACGAGACGAACATCCCTTTTCAAATGTTTTCATAAAGTGCATATATGCAATGACTACACGCGTATAAAAAAGAGAAACGTTTGTGATTTTTTATTACATTGTACAGCTCAATGTCTTTGGCCATTTTTTTCCTAGACAATGCATATAAATGTATGTATACTCTCTTTCCGAATTTCACTGTCTCCATACGCTAACACTTAGTAAGTCATATTAGCCATCACACACCATAAACTGTATGGCAATACCACTACGTGTACATGTAGAATATGTGTCAGATATGAAAAGTGTTGAGATACTTGATTATTATATTTTTTCAATACTTTACATAAATTAAATCATTCTTGTAAATGAACCTTTTTTTCTGTTGAGACAACTTTTCTTTAATCATTTCTTTCTTGTCCGAAACAGAAGCCGTAGTTATCGGCAGCACCCGTCAATTTTACAACGTAAAACAATGTTTTCGCCCTGTTTACAATACGTATTCCGATTCTGTCTGAAGTCGCAAATTAATGCCAGGAATTCATATTAGTACTAATTTAAATCTTGCATGTAAAAACAAACGAAAAATCGTTTAGTTCAGCAATATAAGTAAATCATACCATTTTACTGAACCTGGTAATATTATAAATGTTAATCTAATAGCGCACGTATCTCATTTGACCCCGAGTACCGACAGAGGAGGGAACAAAATACGCCGTTGCCATCAAAACAGTTATCCCTTGATGGGCCGCATGGCAACTCCAAACTAACCAGTCACTTATCCCTTCCTTTTGGATAAACCACTGTATAATTATAGAAACACAATGTAAACTCTCTCCGATACATGCCCATTAACATATTAAACTAAGTTCACATGCGTTCAAACTCAGACAAAGATACTAGCGAGGTTAATAGTTTCAGATATTTATTCATAACATAAACAGCGCTAGCATTTCTGTCGATTCCATTTCAGCTTAATCGGCTATCCGGGAGAATACACGCACCGTACTAACTGCTAGGGCAGTTATTTTCTCCTTTGGATACTTCCCACCTGCAATAATGATTCCGTAACGTACTCCTTGCGCTATTTTTTGACCATTTGGCAACTTTTCGCTTCGTAGCTGACACGGTACAACACTTTTCTCCCGCTTATTTCACACGGCCAGTCATTTTGTTTACAAAGAATTGGTGTGCTATGCGCATGCGCTAGTAGAGGGAAATCCCTGCACAAAACGTTGGCCAGACAGGTAGAAATACCGATGATTATCTTAGATTTAATCATTTTATAAATCTGTTTCAGCCAAATCCGATCGTTATTTTCCATAAGGAGTCTCACTTGATATGTTAATGTAGTATTTGAAAAAAAGACAAAAAAGTCACTTCACCGTGATGCGCCTTTAATCAAAGTCGAAATACATTTAAAATACAACAACAAACAATACCTATAGGAAGTACAAATCCGACATTAACTGAAACATTTATAGTACCAGGCATGTTGTCTCACGTCCAAGGAACTGTGTAGGTAAACAACGATCCATGTTAAATATCACAATTAGAAGCTGAAAATAGGGACTTCAGTGTTTATTATTACAAATCATTGACTATTCTACAACGTTTGCGATGTAACGATACTTTTAGTTGGTTAATAGCCATGGATTATTGGACGATAGACAATGCGCGATCGTGTATCATTTTCCAACAGACCAACGCTCTCTCGAAAAACTCCTCTGCAAATGTATCGGTAAATGAGCGAGACGTGGGACTGTTTCATTTGTCGAACTAGGGTGACCGCATTTAATTTATATGCATTTGAACATTAGCTAGCAGACAAAAAAATCTATTTAACCTCCAGATTTACTTAAAAAATGTCAAGCTGTTCAGAATATTCCGCTGAACTTACCGCGAAAGTGACATAAAAATATTGTTTGTAAATATGTCAAATGCTAATTGCATGTATTGACTATTGTTTATGGTTTGTCGACCGAACTGTGACTCCAAATGGCGACTGAAAGTAGAAATACTTCACAAATATATCCAGGTTTAATAGACAAAATGGGTCAGAAATGATAAAAGACGGAGCTTGTTGTGAAATCAAGACACAGAGGCATCGCGTGACAAATGTTAGCGTGCGCAAAACAAACAGTCTAATTCAAACGATAAGATCGTCTTGGTCACATTGCTTAACAATTGCAATGGGATGCTTAGGTACACATAACGCAAGAGGCCTCCGTTTTTTTCTTTCCCCAACATGTTTTTTCACACTTGTCAAGGCACACCAACACCTCCCCTTTTACTTCCGCCACAGCTGACTTTTCCTGTTTTTCTTATCTACATCTTTACGCATGCATCATCCATAAAGGTAATCATATATATATAAAAAGATGTTTCAAATTCATTTTTTTGTATTTGTTTGCCAAACATGTTTGTCTCTATATCAGTATTATCTCTCGTACCATCGTCCGTTCCATATCCGTCATGGGTCTTTCGATCTCCACACATGCCGTTTCCATGCCGGTTCCAGTCGCTTCCATAGATATCATCGTTCCAAAAATCATTTCTCCAACGATAAAAGCCTGTATACCACCCATTTCTACTGATTTCACCCCGAAACTCTCCTTATCCGTAGGATCCTACAAGTATTAACGTTTTATTACATTTTCTAGTTGACACTGTTACATGTTTAAAAACTCGTTTTTGTTTGATTTTTATTGTCTATATATATTTCATGTACATGTAACACGAATTCATGATGAACATAGATAATTTAAATACAGTTATATGTTGAGAGTGATTTTGTTTATATCCACTCTGAGTGTGGACCGTCAAATGAGTTTTTCAGATTCTAAAAGTGATTATAGTTGAAACAAAATCTGTTCTTAAAATAACCCTTATCGAAAAAGAGCAATTTTGCAATATAAGACATGTACATTGTATATATAATAATGTATCCGATCACCACACTTTGATATATCGGTTGCAAATTAATTTTATATACCATACATTCATATTCAGTGTAACCACGCTTACTCGAACTCACATAACTCGAATACACACTATTCCCTTAGTAGTTAGTTTGGTCCCGTGTAAGAAAATTAAATTTGATGAGCATTTGCACCTTGTTTTCGACGCCAAATGAAATTTAAAAAGTTTGTTTGACACAAATATGTCAATTGCTCCGTTGCTGGTCGCTCGACGGAAGGTAATTCATAGGTTGATTAGATCATCCGATATATTTTCCAGAAATCATAACAAGTTATATATACAAAATGTAATAGCCATGATCAGTTGTAAATTGCATTATTTTCTTTTTACTTACAAAGTTTACACGAGATCCGTTCCTTTGCATTACGTTCAATCAACTGTTTTCTGACATCATCTCTATGCATTTCTGCCACTATATAAACTTTACTTTCATGCATATATATTTTATATCTTTACCTTGTACCAACTTCCTCGGTCTATATGAATGTCAGGACATGTATCAGTGTTCTTTTGGCGTATTTCTGTGTTTTCAACGTCTGTGACTCTGTTTCCTAGTCAATATTTAATTGTTTGGCCACTGTTCATATTGGCAAGTATTTTAGTAGATGTCCATTGTATGTAATAGCGATGTCTTTGTCCATAAGTGTTGTGATGCCCACAAAGGTAATTCTCAAAGAGGCTTGCCTTGGCAGTCAAACTAGCAGCAGTCGTTTCAGATATTAACACGGCCTTTTGAGAAGTTTCAGACATAGTAATGTTTTGTTTATACATTTTGTAAAACTGTATTTCCCTGTCTAAAGCATTGTACAGTGTATCGACAACAGGAGTGATCCATATAAGTTGAAAAAATTTGTGTCATAAAAGTTTATATTTCTATGGTGATTACATTTCATTCATTCCTACACTTTAAGTCTTAGGATTTGTTTTTAAGTCTGGTCCTGTGAATATTTCATTTACTTTGCCAGTGTCTTCTACCAGAGAGGTTTCAGATCGCGGTCGTCACTTTCCACTAAAATCTTGAAAACCGTTTGTGAGATTTCTGGTGACGAATATATGTTCTGGGGTTGACATCATGATGGATGTAACCTGTGGTTCATAAACTCAAACTTTTCTAGCAAAACCTGAATTATCCTCTTATTATATCTGTTCGTTTTACTAGACTACACAATTGTATTACTTTTAGATACATATTCTATCTTTGTTTACGTACACACAGACTTTTCATTGAATGGTAGAAAGTCATTTTACTACCTTAAAGTACAATCCTTACTAACACACAAAATAAAATACGTATAAATAAGAATTGGAATTTATTTACAAAATATTATGAATATGAAATAACAATTCAATGTATACATAAAACGTTTAAATACACTTTTACAAATAGACATGCATGAAATTGTTAAAACGGATTTTCCATGTAATCTTTGGCCACATCGATCTGAAAAAGCAAATGAGTAAGGACAATGTTATTATGATATATATATGCCATTCCTCCTTTTCTTGTTCCTGAATTCTAAAGATATATGTTATGAGATAAACTACTGGTCGTTAGGTAGAAGCAAAGAACATTTTGTTTATCCCATGATCAGCAGAGAAAGTTTCTCATATATTGATTTGACCTATTGCCAATAATGAGTCGGATGCCCCTGCGCGAGTCACATTATAAAGATATATATGAGTGAGGGTTTTTATTTGTAAGAAGTCACCTCGAATACTACTCTTTGATAGGTTACTTTACATTGAAAAAAATGGCGCTTTTACAAAAGCAAGGGTATCAATAGTGTTGTCATTATAATTCGATATATTTACTACTTAACACAATGGATAAGTTTTGTTTGAACTGATACTACAATATTCTATCAATTTTGTCGTGAATACATCAACCAGACAACACATATTGCAAAAGGGAAATAAATTATATATTAAAACAGCCACGACATCTTTTCAAAATTTATGACAGAATATTAAGTAAATATTAAATAGAGAATAACTATGCATAAAGTATTAAAATTCATACCTTTCAGCATCATTCATTGTCTCTGCATCAGTATCTTCGGTCGTATCCCCATATGTTTCCTATCCTGTCACCAGACCACCTGTCTCTCCAAATGTCGCTTCCACGTCGGGACTAGTCGTTTCCATACATATCACTATTCCAAGGATCGTTTCCCCAACGGTCAAAGCTTGAACCCCACCTAGTTCTACTGAGTCCGTCAAACAACGAGGAACCACGCCTTACTCCGTAGGATCCTGTAATTATAACCATTGCATTGCAGTTCTTAACAGTAAGAGGCAATATTTGTTTATCTTTGTATAAGCGTTGTTGTTTAATATTACTTAGATACTTATTTCATAAGAAAACACTTCCAGACTCTAATGCAGATATAATGTAGTCTTTGTATACATTAATTATCTTCCGAATGAAATGTTTTCAAAAATCAGACACATGCATCATTACAGACTTATACTTGTATTACCAAGTCTTTATGAGGATGAAATAATAGTATATAATGACGAACATATAACACTTCGTGATGCAATTTGTGTGTAAATATGTTATACTGTCTTCATATGACACCGCTTATTGCAATGACGATTTATCCCGATACAAATGTGTATATTGAGAGAAAGATATTTACAGATAAATATAAGTAAAATACTTACGGCACAAGACACAGGCAACTAGACACGGCAGCACGATACGTTTCAACATCTTCAGTTGATTGAATCTGTAATCGGAATTGTTACACTTAATACTGAAATGTATTTAGCATATAAAATACTCTTTGAGTATTTCATGAAATATTTGCAATAATATATTATATTTTCAAAATAGGAATCCCTGACTAGCTCAACACAGTAATAACATGGTAGACTAAAATATCATAGTGTGTCAACTTTCCTTTACTAGCTTCAGCTATGTGAACACACATATAGATACTTCATAGACTCACCTATGTCCACCGCTAAGGGTCACACTTGTTCAGTCTTTGTCAGAACAGATTGTGTTTGAGAACAAAATATAAACACTTACTTTTAAACACAATATTACGAGGAAATACTTTTTGTTATTGTTGTTCATATTCTTTCCTAAAGCATTTTCACGAGAGTGCAATCATTGTGTATATACAAAGAATAACGCAAGCTATTATTAGCTAATGGAGGTTTCCTTTTCCACCAATGACGTACATGTCGATGATAAGACGACGTTTGGAGAGCAGGAGTTTTTGAGGAAGACATAGATAAATTTTGGCATACATTTTATTAATTACATAACAACGCAATTCTTAATTATGATAAATTGATGTGTTTCCTGATAAATACAGTATAATTATTAAATATATATACAAATCAGTATCTGTTCTTTTTTCTATGATACAATAGCTTATTTGCAGCATTTAACCACTAATACAGGAACAAAACATGGGATCTTCTGAAGTAAGTCCCTCTTAAAAATACATACTATATTATTCAATTCTAAAGATGACATTTATTTAACAATGAGTCGAATAAATTCTCATATTCTTTAATTGTAAATGTAAGATTTTGAATGTTTGGAAAATACATGGAGGGAGTATTAAATATAGTACAAACCAATCGATGTTATAAAGGATGATTCAATGAATTGGTAATACTGAGACATTGCCCTTTGTTTAACTAGCTATATTATATGACAAGGGACTCATAAAGCAGTGTAAATTGGGAGAATTAGTGTGTGGTATGTAGGACAGAAAATATTCAATAGATGATGAACAAACCAAGACAGTCATAAAAAACAAAGTGTTTTTTATCATTAGATCTCAAAATAATAAAATGTTGTTCAGTTGCGGTAATGATGTCATATATATAAATTGACAATTGACAGTTAACGAGTCTAACATGTCAGTAGTGATAAGGCCACGTATCATGCATAGTTGATATTTATTTAAAGTTTATCCCACACACTATTCAAAATATGGATTGAGGTTTCGCTTGTCATATACATGTACGTAAGTAACAACACCACAGGTTACATGTATTATCATATAAATAGCTCTTGATATACATACGGATAATTACCATATATATTTACTATGACGTCACAGATGTAAGCCTGAGGTAATGGTCACCAAACTGCCTCGAGCAACATTGTATCACATATGTAACTATGAATCAATGTTTTGAATAAATGTGTTACCTTTGATAAGGTATATGTGGATACATACAAATGATCTAAATACAATGAGAGGACACTTCTTCAAATGTTTTAACAGTAATGCAGACAAATGCATTTATTTCAAGATATCACAGTCTATTGTAATCAGCGAGACATCGATTCCCGATAAACATATGAAAGGAATATCACAGTAAATAATGACAGTTATCACTGATTTTCCGTTTCTGATTTTTCTTCCATTATCGTCAGAAGTTAAACATGAACTTAATATATAACATATTAATATGATAAGAGGACAGTTTAGTGGATCTTCAAGTACACACTAACAACATATGTGATACTTCTGTTTTCAAGTGCAATTAATACTGTTGACCACAACCACAATGACATATATATGACAGCAATCAATTCCATGTAAGGTGAGGTGTTCCAGAGCAGCTACGATAGGGCATGTAATGGTTAAGCTATTTATAACCAGTATAATTTGTTACGAGAAAAAACCCTGCAAAACGAGATGCAGCATGAAACTTATGTATTTAAACACTTTCTGTTTATATATGAAAAAAATGGTGAAATGACAAGTGGGATCCTGACAAAAGGAAACGTACCAGGCCTGCTTTGAATGTGGACCATGACCTCCTGAAATTCCTTACTAGCTAGACCAAAACCACATTAATTTACAATATGTTTGATTGTAACATTTACGTTGTTAACTGTTTGGAAATAATGAAATATTATTTTAACCCTATTTATCAATAGAATAATGCATAGAGAAAAGGGCACTACAATTATCAGATTGTCAAAATGGGAAATTTTAAAGAAACATTTCATTTACAAAAACTTTTCTGTTTTCATAGTTCTACTTTATTTATTCTTTTTGGCAATATAAAATATTCAACAAACGTTATTAAAGAAGGCAGCTACTGCCTAGTTTTTAATACCCAAAATACCCCAAATTATATTAATGTCTAACATTTTTCGTCTCAACAAATATATTCCAATTTATTACATTTAACCAATATTTTAAACTACAGTTAGTTGACATTGAAAACATTGACTTAAATTACAGTCAATGTTTTCAAAGAGGAAGGATGGAAACCAACAATTGAAGGCGGTGTTAGTCAACACGGTTTTCTGTTGTGTAATGTTAAATTGAGTGGCTCTAACTTGGTCAACCATTTTAACAGAAGTTTAAAAAAAAAAAAATACAACAAACAAACAAATACAAGATATTTAATAATTACAATTTCTCCCTTATTAAGCTTTTCCTCAGTGAGCTTATACACTGGTTATTACAGCGAGTTTTAAAATATTATATTCTCGCTAAATATTTTCGTATTAAATCCTTTATTTGCGAGTACTTCTAGGAGATGAAAAAAAAAGGAAATCATTATGTCGTATTCCAATATTTGAGCAGTTTATTTAAATGAACGAGGGAATATTTTCGACACATTAATGATTTAATCCCAACTTCAGGTATGGATATTTTAACATTATTATTATTTCAAAAGGTAAAAATGAAAATTCTATACAATAAACTGTTAAAATTCATATGAATAACAATAGGACTATACGACTAAAGCGTCGGGTTTTACCAAATTTGAAAACTTCTCGTGTGGAATTTCCCTATCCTACACCCTTTGGGATGAAAGAGTATTTTTCTCTCATTCCAACCACCGGAATAACCCAAGAAACCAGCATATCCCATATTTGCAAACAATGTTTGCGCAGAAAAATGAATCGCATCTTTCTAATGTGTACGGCAAATATGTCGTAAAAGGTTTAAATTTCATCGCGTCGTCTTTTCCGCATTGCGGCATTAGAGAGTTCCAAATCCGTGACGTCACGTCATTGTTGAGCCATTGTGAGGTCACGTCACGTGAAATGGTGTGTAAGATGGAAATTTCCTACACCCCTTTCTTACCCTGGACCGCTCTATCTTATACACATGGAAACGAGAGAAATGTATTTGATCTGTATCAGAATAAACTGTCATTAATCACAATAAAGACTTACGTCATTACAATAATGTATGTTAATAAATAGAAGGTATACTTACACTTGATATATATCATCGTCACTGTCTCCTACTCTCCAAAGGTCATCCTGTCATTGACATGTACGTCAATGGTTAAAAAGGGAAACTCCGTCAGATATTAATAGAATGCATTGTTTTGTGTACATTCGCAATAAATGCGAAGATGCGACTATAATTGAGGAAATACAATGTACAACAATTACAAAGTATTTCCTCGTCATATTGTGTATAAAAGTGGTCATACTTGGTCCTCCATCACAACCTGCCCTGACACAGACTGACGAAGTGTAACCTTTAGTAGTGGCCAAAGGTAAGTGTCGGGATGAACGATATGTGTATTCACCTAGTGGTAGTCGGTAATTCTATAATAACACAGTTTCATGTCTCATTCTACCATGTCATTGAGATATATTGAATGAATCTGGAATATGATACATTGTATTTAAAAATATATATAGGATAGCGAGCATTTGAATTATATATATTATTATATTTGTATTAAAACTCTGTTTACAGAATCAATCAACTGAAGATGTTGAAGCTTATCGTGCTGTCGTGTCTAGTTGCCTGTGTCTTGTGCCGTAAGTATTATTAGTATATTTATCTATAAATACCTTTATCTCGATATGCAAAGTTATTTGGGAATAATGTCGTTTCACACAAAAGTTGTACCACCAAATGTGTGATGTGTAGTATAAAGTCTGTCCTTTATTTTATATCGTATCATTACTAAAAAGACCTTGTTATCCATTTATATAAGTATATTGATACATGTATTTGATTTGTAAAACGATTTATTCGAAAGTTGTTAGAATTTATTCTGACATAATATATATAATGTTGCATCGGAGATACTAAATGTAGGATTGTATACAATGACTATCCGCATAAGAGCCATAATGATTTATTAAAAGAAATAATTATCAATATAACACGAAACAACACAACTAAAGCACTATTTGTAAACTATATATCTGCATATGTACCTACATTAGTGAATAAATTAAATCAATTACAGGGTCCTACGGCGGAGTAAGGCGTGATTCCTCGTTGTTTGATGGAATCGGTAGAAACAGGTGGGATACAGGCCTTGACCGTTGGGGAAACGATCCTTGGAACGGTGATATCTATGGAAGCGACAGGTACGGACGAGGAAGCGACATGTGGAGAAACAGGCGGGATCGTGGCATTATAAGAAGCAACAGATGGGGAAACGAGAGGATATACTGATGACGAAATGATCAAGTCTAGAATAAGGTACGTATTTGAATATTTTATTTAAAAATTTCAGTATGGAAAAAAAAATCATTTCCTTTTTATATGATTACATATATTGATGATGCGGGTGTCGAGATTAAAACAACTTGGTTTTTAAGAACTAATTATAATTACAAAGTAATATTGACTGTTGAAGTATCACTATATTTTAAAACAAAATTGACCCCTTTTTACAATTTTCAGTGATTGTTGAACTGATGAAAACCGCAGATTCTCTTTGTAATTTGCTTGTGTGAAAAAGGACAAAAAGCAAAACTCATCATGTTGTTGCAATGAGCGTTAAGTTATACGGCTCTTCATTAACTATACAATATCTTAATATGGGAACATTTATGTTTATTGATTATTGTTATAAACATAAAATTCCTCGACTCGGAAAGAAAACCGAATATAGTTTACCTCGTGATATTTCTATATACTGTTTAACAAGAAGACAAACACCAGAACGAAGTATAGACTATGTATTGATATAAACTTAACCATTACTTACTAGACAATCGTTTCTCTTTCAGATCCATGTGGCCAAATATTTGAAAAGGAAAATCCAAGCTTACCGTTTCATGCTTACATTCATCTGTACATTCATATTCATCAATGTTTGAAAATAAATTTCGTTTCTAATTTATACATAATTTATTTGTTTGTGGTCGACCAATGTGTTCTAAACAAGTACTAAGATGTATTTCTGCCATTCAGTACAAAGTCTGCAGTGACACGTCAACAGTGACAGAAAAAAAATACTAAAAGTTAAATAGCAAAGCTTTAACACAAAATGATTATATTGACTCGGACAAATCATAGTTGGACCTATATCAGAAAAAACATTAAATTCATGCATAATCAGAACATATCTCAAAATCGATACGAGACACCGGAACTGAGGAAACTTAATAACAAATGGAAGACACCATAAACCGAACCAAAATTGGATTACGAAACAGTGGTTCTGAACGAGGTATCCGCTTCGCGCATCACATATGACATTTAAGACATGGACGACATAATTTCTGACGGAAAGTTATTAAATCCGCCACACACATGTATATAGACACCTTTACACAAAGAAATGAGACACACACACTCAGACAAGAATATATATGTCAAACGACCGAACCTTGTTATTGTAAGCTAAATAATAAATAACTACATATGCAAATAAGAGTTTTGTTAAAGTTTTCAAACAGCATTTTAAAAACAAATGCTGTATATCAGGTAGCACAATAACGACAACAAAGCCTAAATCATACAAAACATGTTTTAAAATCTCATAATATTATAATTTTTGATATTGAGGGCTACATCGAATCAAAATCATTGCTTAAATCGGAATGAAATAATCATAAACATTCTGATAGACTGATGCATGTATTTGAAACATAAAATAAATAAAATAAATACCAGATTTCAAATGGAAATTCCTTCAAAATAAAACAAGTATATGCAACATATCGAAATTGACCGAAAGAGTCAGTTATGGAAATAACTCGATAAAATTGGCCAACAGTTTATAGTGCTCCTATACAAAACATTTTAACTTGACTGAAATATTTAATTTAAACTTCAGCACACGATTAAATAAAAAAAATGCATTATCAATACTGTTACAATTCCAATGATGTGATGATTATTTAATTTTCAAATCAGAAAGTAATATTGAAAGAACAAAATATCAACTAATATTGTGAAGATTTTTAGATTGATTCATTGATTTCAAAATATAAAAAATATGCATTTGGTATTCGATTGATGAATTATCTCCTTTCTACCAAGTTTATCTAGTGGAGAAAAGTTTGTTAAATCAAGTTGGTAGTATTTGACCTCCACACAGCATTAAGCTTAAACCCTTTAATTGTTAATGATTATTCAACTGATATTTATTTTCTGAATATTCTTTAATTGTTCTTCTCTATCGAGTAACCTTTTTATTTTGATCGCTACAGCTTCCATGCATCACGTATGCATTTCTGCTGCATGGGCTGAATTTTCAAGTACCATTTGTTCGTGTACGGATAAGGGCGGATGTTGCTGCATCCGGCTTATCTTTAGTTTTTATTTATGAAGCTAGCCGCTACATTGATGACTGATTTAAAAAGCACTAGACAATAACCTGATTTAACCATGTACTTCCAAACTTGTAGACCCTATTACAGAATACGACAGCGAAAAATATGTATGTTTAATGTAATTTGAAAATGATGAAAAGAAGTATAAAATGATACAAAACGAATATATTTCATCATATTTTGAAGCATAATTGGCAATTTTGACACAGTTTGTTAGGAATATTTTGTCGAAGAACACTTACAAAAGAAATGCATTCAAATTAAATTAATGAATGAAGTACTGCAAACAGGCAACATAGAAAAAACACATACCATACCAAATAATGTAAAGGTTGTTTCATGCGGTGTTTTTAATGTTTGATTGGTGCGTTAACACTTATTTTGCTGCGACAGATTACAAGATGCGAAATAAATGAAAAACCTTTTATATTATTATAAGCAGTTCTTGCCATAGTATTTAGACCCGAAATCCAAGAAAAGTAATTCGTTAAAAATTCGAAAATATAATAAATGTGACCATCTGTACCCAACTATTGAGAAGTACATTATAATTGATACCTTGGTATGACACTAACATATTAGAATATAACGTCATACAGACGTGCGCCATAATCAGTGATGTATAATGACTATATGCCAATTTACACTTACCGAATGATATCACAATGATGTATCACATGCACCTGTCAATGGCCCCCTGAGGTTTTGCTGTTGGCCGATTAATGTATAGTCGAGTGAACGTGTACAGTGGACATCAGTAAGGAGAAAATATACCACAACGTTAAAGGGACATCACGTGAAGAGCCATATTTTTTTAATGAATGTATGTATTGTATGCACCTGTTACCTCGCTATCTCCATATTCATAGTCTTCTTACCACACTATGAAACCAAGTAATATGATTTCTAAGTCCGTATTCAAACTTATTGAACAGTAATTATTTATCATCAAAAGTTAATTGAACACGTGCCAATATTCAGAATTTAAATTTATTTAGCTTTAAACAGTTTTGTTGCCAATAAAATTGAACAAGGGATGGGGCACAATGTTTTACAATTTATCACAGCCTTCTCCCGTCATGCATTTACAATTAAATGTTAACAAAAGGCATAAACATAAAGTAGATATATTAATAGATATTTAATTTATTACCGGAATGTGACCGGTACAGATGGTACGGGGCTAAACACCTTCCCTCAACCACGCGACAAACCTTTCTGTAAAAAGAAATATTCACGAGACGAACATCCCTTTTCAAATGTTTTCATAAAGTGCATATATGCAATGACTACACGCGTATAAAAAAGAGAAACGTTTGTGATTTTTTATTACATTGTACAGCTCAATGTCTTTGGCCATTTTTTTCCTAGACAATGCATATAAATGTATGTATACTCTCTTTCCGAATTTCACTGTCTCCATACGCTAACACTTAGTAAGTCATATTAGCCATCACACACCATAAACTGTATGGCAATACCACTACGTGTACATGTAGAATATGTGTCAGATATGAAAAGTGTTGAGATACTTGATTATTATATTTTTTCAATACTTTACATAAATTAAATCATTCTTGTAAATGAACCTTTTTTTCTGTTGAGACAACTTTTCTTTAATCATTTCTTTCTTGTCCGAANCTTTTCAATACTTTACATAGATTAAATCATTCTTGTAAATGAACCTTTTTTTCTGTTGAGACAACTTTTCTTTAATCATTTCTTTCTTGTCCGAAACAGAAGCCGTAGTTATCGGCAGCACCCGTCAATTTTACAACGTAAAACAATGTTTTCGCCCTGTTTACAATACGTATTCCGATTCTATCTGAAGTCCCAATATAATGCCGGGTATTCATATTAGTACTAATTTAAATCTTGCATGTAAAAACAAACGAAAAATCGTTTAATTCAGCAATATAATTAAATCATACCATTGTTAATCCAATAGCGCACGTATCTCATTTGACCCCGAGTACCGACAGAGGAGGGAACAAAATACGCCGTTGCCATCAAAACAGTTATCCCTTGATGGGCCGCATGGCAACACCAAACTAACCAGTCACTTATCCCTTCCTTTTGGATAAACCACTGTATAATTATAGAAACACAATGTAAACTCTCTCCGATACATGCCCATTAACATATTAAACTAAGTTCACATGCGTTCAAACTCAGACAAAGATACTAGCGAGGTTAATAGTTTCAGATATTTATTCATAACATAAACAGCGCTAGCATTTCTGTCGATTCCATTTCAGCTTAATCGGCTATCCGGGAGAATACACGCACCGTACTAACTGCTAGGGCAGTTATTTTCTCCTTTGGATACTTCCCACCTGCAATAATGATTCCGTAACGTACTCCTTGCGCTATTTTTTGACCATTTGGCAACTTTTCGCTTCGTAGCTGACAAGGTACAACACTTTTCTTCCGCTTATTTCACACGGCCAGTCATTTTGTTTACAAAGAATTGGTGTGCTATGCGCATGCGCTAGTAGAGGGAAATCCCTGCGCAAAACGTTGGCCAGACAGGTAGAAATACCGATGATTATCTTAGATTTAATCATTTTTATAAATCTGTTTCAGCCAAATCCGATCGTTTTTTTCCATAAGGAGTCTCACTTGATATGTTTATGTAGTATTTGAAAAAAAAAGACAAAAAAAGTCACTTCACCGTGATGCGCCTTTAATCAAAGTCGATATACATTTAAAATACAACAACAAACAATACCGATAGGAAGTGCAAATCCGAAATTAACTGAATCATTTATAGTACCAGGCATGTTGTCTCACGTCCAAGGAACTGTGTAGGTAAACAACGATCCATGTTAAATATCACAATTAGAAGCTGAAAATAGGGACTTCAGTGTTTATTATTACAAATCATTGACTATTCTACAACGTTTGCGATGTAACGATACTTTTAGTTGGTTAATAGCCATGGATTATTGGACGATAGACCATGCGCGATCGTGTATCATTTTCCAACAGACTAACGCTCTCTCGAAAAACTCCTCTGCAAATTTATCGGTAAATAAGCGAGACGTGGGACTGTTTCATTTGTCGAACGAGGGTGACCGCATTTAATTTATATGCATTTGAATATTAGCTAGCAGACAAGAACGTCTATTTAACCTCCAGATTTACTTAAAACATGTCAAGCTGTTCAGAATATTCCGCCGAACTTACCGCGAAAGTGACATAAAATATTGTTTGTAAATTTGTCAAATGCTAATTGCATGTGTTGACTATTGTTTATGGTTTGTCGACCGAACTATGACTCCAAATGGCAACTGAAAGTAGAAATACTTCACAAATATATCCAGGTTTAATGGACAAAATGGGTCAGAAATGATAAAAGACGCAGCTTGTTGTGAAATCAAGACACAGAGGCATCGCGTGACAAATGTTAGCGTGCGCAAAACAAACAGTCTAATTCAAACGATTAGATCGTCTTGGTCACATTGCTTAACAATTGCAATGTGATGCTTAGGTACACACAACGCAAGAGGCCTCTGTTTTTTTCTTTCCCCAACATGTTTTTTCACA